AACAGGTCATGTGATCGGAGGAGGAACAGGTCATGTGATCGGAGGAGGAACCGACAAGGATCACGAGGAACTCTTGAGTGATCGTCAGAGATCTGAAATCAGGATTCTGATCCTCACAGGAAGCTGCTGAACTGATTGGTCTGAATTTGCATAAAATTGGAACTCTTGATGAACATTCTGCTGACATGAAGTGACTGAGAGGAAGAAGCAGTTAAATATAGAGAGGAGGGGGGGGGGGGGGTTAGGAGAAGGAAATGTAGATGAGATGAAAGAGAAGAAGAAAAGAAAAACATGGCCGAGGGGTAAAAATAACAAAAACAAAGAAGTAGAATAAAAACATGAAGAAGGAAGAACAAAAGGAAAAGATGAGGAGAAAAGAAGACGAAGAGAATTCAAGTCAATAAGGAAAGAAAACAACCAGTTAACTTCCTTATTACTTAGAATAGAAAGTGATATTTTAAAGGTCTAACGTTGGATTTGTGTTCTTGTTTTTCTTTTGTTTAACTACAGCTGTGTAACTAAACCATTGGACCAGAGACCAGCGTCTCCTGAGTGTCCAGACTGAAGCTTCATAGAAACCACCGAAATACTGAGAGGGAAGATTTGAGCTTTTATTCCTAAAGGCCACGCCCACCTCCTTCCCTTTGCCGTCATATTGATCGAATGTGTTCGAGTCTCAGCAAAAACCAGACCAGATGATTAACAGCATGAAGGTTCACCAGAAACTCAGAGATCCAGGCCCGCTGGAAGGAAGAGATTCACAGGAGAACCAGAACCAGGACTGAGAGGGGCAGGCTGTCAGACCCTGCTGTAGTAAAACGAGAGATTTTCTAAAGGGACTCTGGTGAAACACTACCATTTTAGTCCACAGGGGGCGACACAATCAACACAACATGAAAGTTCTTTGTCACTTTGAAAACCTTTTAAACCCTAGCCCTATTTTTAGGCCTCTGCTCGAAAATTGCATACCCGTATTTTAAAAGACTGTAAATCTTAAACTACAAGGTCTATTTTAATAATTTTGATGGTATAATACAGGTAAAACTTGTGAGACACTTGCTCAGATGTGTAAATATTGTGTATATGTTACTGGTTAATAGTGAATGAAGATGCACACAGCTCAAATTGAAAATTTCAGGTTCGCCTGAAAAAAAAGCACTTTTATTGAAAATATTTATTTGAAATTATGCAGATTGAAGCCTAAAAATACTCCACAGTCATAGCACAACATGTTTGTGGTGTCTACAAGCACATTTTACTTAGATTGAATGAAGCAGGCTAGCATTAATGAGGAGTTTCAAGCCGAATTCTCATTTTTGGAAACAGCTTTTGCGCTGCTCTATTCTAATTTTATATACTATATAACTATATATTAACTATATATTCACTTGCCTTATCACTAAGAGTGTTCAATACATCGTAATAAAGCAGTTTGGCATCATTTTCAGCCATTTTCAGCTCTCATGTCTCTCCTCCATAAAAAAATTTCCTCTCAGTCCGTATCTACGTAAGCTTCTGTCGGGCCTGTGATTGGTGGATTTCATCATGTGACACCTTGTTGAACGCGGAAGAGAGTAACGAAAGCACTACGCGGATTATTTCGAAGATTGACAGCCTTTTAGCCACTCAAAATTTCGATATGCTTGGCACAACCCCTATGTGTAAAATCCATTGGTCCAGCAGGAAAATGCTGCCCATTTCTTCATAAAAGGTCCCAGCACGTTCATTTCAATTTCA